GCTGCAGCAGCCAATCTTTTCTTTCAGTGTATTGAACATGTTTAATGCGTTTCTTTATTAAATTCTTTTTGTTGATACTGTTTGTACATTTAATTTGTGAAAGAACTTGTTTCAAAGTGGAGAGGACTCCCTTTGCTTACAAATTGATTGCCTACTGCAGTACCTGCCTCATCACATTTGCCGACAGTTTGTTTGCGCATAAAAATTGCCTATAGATCGATCGTCTACGTGTACTATTCCGCACAAATATAAAATTAAGAGAAAAAGGCACGTATGCAGCTGTGAGTAATAATTTTTCTATACAAACAAATTCAGTAAATATGATGTTGGCAAACGATGCTATAGGCAATCAATTTGTAGGTAAACGGAGCCCTCTCTCAAAGTGTTCCAAATAGAATAATAAAATATGGACTATTTCAGAGCAAAAACTAGTTGCCTTACAAAAGGTTCTTGACTACGTGAACAACAGACCAGAACAGATGAATCTAGACGCTTCTTTCGGTATTACCTTAACCGAAGGTAAAAATCAAATAATCTCTAATTAAAATCAATATACGATGTCGACGCGGAACTATAACATATCTTTTACAAGAACTTTAGCAGATTAAAATTTTTTAAATATGAAGCTTGAGTTAGGAGATAAGAATTTTAATTTTGCATTTAATATAAAAATTCACAGATATATTTTTGATAATGTAATTTTTAATAAATTTGAATAATATCTGTTGCTACTAAAAAATAGCTAATTTGGTGGCGGCGCTCCTGCATGAAAACGTCCAATATTTGGAAGACAAATTCTTCATCGCTCTCAAAGAAATGGTTGTACTAACCGATTTGACTCGAAAACATTTGATGAAGATTATTGCTCCGAAGAACGATACTAAATTTTTAAGTAAGTACAATGAATATATTATACACAAAAACGCAGATTTGGTTTCTTTTAATGTATTTTATTTATTTACACAATTTTCGTATTTGAAATTCATGAGTTTACGAAGAAAATAAAAAGCAAATAATTGCAGGAAAATGTAGGAAAGCTTCTTTAAAAGAAAAAAGTAGAAAATATATTTGAAACGCTAAAAATATCGCTTTTAACAATTTGCATCCTTAAACTTGAGAGTTTTTAAATTAAATTAATAATTCTTCAAAATTGAAATTAAAAATTTCCAAAATCATGTTTTGTATTTAAACTCATATTGTTGGAAAACCTTTGTAGTTATTGTTTAATGCTTACTATATATCGAAGTTTTGTGAAGTCTAAAATTTTACAGTGCTATCGACTTTAAACGATCCCAATCAGTGGGTAAAACCTATATCGTGGACGAGAGTCTTTTCAAAATCGAGATCCCATCCCCGTCATTTATTAAGCTATCAAGAAGTTGTTCAATCGATATGGCATGGAACGCCCACTGAAACGGAAAGCGATCAATGTTTAATCGAAATAGTGCGTAGCAGTTTAAAGGGGGAATGTGAAATTCCTGTTGCTTGTGTCGCAATATTGATAAAGGAAGACAATACTACCGGATATCCTCTTACACATAGATTGCTCATCGTTCAAGTTGCTAAAGTAGTAAGATGCTAAGAAAGTTAATTATTACATCATACATTTATATTACATGCGTGTATTACGTTCACAAAAAGAAGAGAGGTCTTTTTCGGGCATTTTTACGTTTTCCTCCAAGTTTGATTAATAAAAAGAGATCGGTTTTAGCTGGGATGCGAGGAAATCATCGACAAAACGGCATCGCTCTCCTCCTTAGTATCCACATATTGTGCCAGGATCTTTCAGGATTTCATTAATCTCGAAGCTTGGAGCTTTCCAAACGTTACGCGAGATCTCATGTTGGAACAAGGTAATCGTGCGTGCGATAAAAATATATTAATTCTTTAATTACGGTTCATATTTCGAACAAAAGCCGACCATGTTTGTCCTGGCGAAAATAAAAATTAGAACATAAACGAAGCTTCTAGGAAGCAAAAATTGAGAGCAGAACATAAAAAAGGTATAAAAGCTTCTTGTCTCAATTTTCGCCTCCTAGAAATTTCGTTTAAATTCTTCTGTGACTTTCCCTTTGCATTTTATTTACACTTCAATGTTTATTTTTGCCGGAACGCAACATGCTTGCAAATATACGAATTTTCCATTGACAATTAAGCGTATTATTATATATTCATCTTTCGCAGCAAAAGGATTAAATAAAAAGAAAGTATGTACAAATATAAACAAAATATGAAAAATATTTCATGCCTTTCTTTATTTTTTTAGTTGTTCTATGCGGCATGGAGGGTTACTATGAATTCGTCGATAAACATTATGAAGATATAATACTGAGCTGGCCTCACTGGAGTGGCTGCTTTGGTGTAATCGAGTAATTGTCTATGCATTAACTCTATTTACGCAATTACAATATTTTATCACGTCGTAATTATTACAGTTAATACAGAATGTATAATTGCAATAATACATAAATATGTTGACTTCAGTTGATTAGAATGCATTATATACGTGTGCATTTAATGTATCCGTGTTAAAGATTCTGCACGTATTTACCAAATATTTTGCAA